GTGAGCGCGGTACCCAGGCTCCGACACAAGGTGTTACCCCTCTCCATTCGCCCAAAATACCCCATCCCATTTTGCCACTCTTGCATACCCCGTTGGTACCGGGAATCACCCCACGCACCCCGCTAGGAGTAAAAGTCAGTCGTCCGGGCATTCACTTCCATCGGTCCGATAAGAATCAGCCTTTCCCAAACCGTGCTACAAGAAGCTACTAATCGTCTCTGAGGCTTCCTCCCTGCCTCACACGCAGTGGTCCCTCTCCGCCAACCGACAAGCTAAAGCCCCGCCTGAGGAGACGTTTCGCATCCCGCCTGGGCAAGGTGCCGAGCCAAACTCGGTCCACCCGGGAGAGAGTGCTACTAATCAACCGGCGAGACCAACTCCTGTCCGACAACTCGGTGATCCGACCTCCGCATATGAGACCCGGCGGCACGACAATAGAAACGACGTTTCGCCATCCCGCACCAGCTGATGCAGACCCATCCCTTTCTTCCGAAAGGCAGGACGCTCAAATCCCCTGATGCAGATCACAAGTCCCAAGTGGGACACACATAGTACAAGTGCCTTTCCCTTGGTGCACCCAGCGCTTCCTACCCATAACTCACGGTTTTCTTTCAGGACAGTGAGTGTCACTCCCCTTACTTCCATACACAGTGGTTGGTTCCTTTTCGTGAGCGTTTTTAAGGGTGAGCTAGTTTTCTAGGAGTCTAGCAACTCCCTTCATTCCCTTCATCTTTATTGGTATGTCCTTTTATAGGGTAGGATTGTTCCTTCTTGATGACGTGTTGTGTTCATGTCTGTTCCTTCAAGCATATCAAGTGTATAGTGCATGAGCCTGTGGGGCTCAAAAGAAGAAAGAAGAGCACCCTGTCGGCCGGATCACTCCGCCGCGGGATTTTCATTGGACCCCGACCGAAGCCGAAGCACCAACCGCCTGCCAGGTAACCGAAACCCTTCTTTCGCACGAAAAGGAAGGGTCGACCTGCGACTTGCTCGAGGCTCCTCCGGACTGGCGAACACCAGCACCGGAGGAGGGGGGCTAGAGCTACTCCACAAAGGAGTAAGCTGATCAAGTGTGTAGCATGCATGTTATACCTCCCGGCATGGCCATGCCATGCACCCATCCACTCTCAAATCTGATTCTCTCAAGGGGAAGAGCAAGCTCAAGTCCAATTTCTTTCTCTTTGGTTGTGTACACGGTCATGCGTAGGCCCCCCCCCTCGGAATCGCAAGGGCCAATTTAACCCTATGCCCGTCATCTCCACCATTTTTGTAGGGTCCTACCCTGTTAGACTTTCGAGTCTGAGTCGACCCGCTGCGAGTCCCGGTTGGCTCTGCTCCGCCCGATCTCATGCTCAGGACGCGGAGCGTTCGTCACAAGGGCACCCCCACCTAGTGTTTGCGATGGATGGGGATGGGCCATTTTGCGAGAGGGCTTCGACTTTGGGGATGTAGCTCCGCCCTTTCTTCCGATGGTAGACTCGCCAATCTTTTTGTCAAGCGCAATTTTCTTGATGCTTTGATGTGTTGTCAGGCAATAGCTCCGTCCAATACATAAACAGTCCAGGGAGTTTATTGAGAGTTTCTCTTTTTTTATGCGTAGGCCAAGTGTCATCCTTGGGCAACGCATCCATTTACTAAGAGGAGAGTCTCTATAGTCTCGTCGGGGCCGCTACTACCCTCCAACCAACCTACACGTAACTTTGGTTATCACATACATCAAGCATGTCCTTTCTTCATCCAACTCTCGCATTCTCCTATACACCCCTTAGTCTTTTCGGGGCCCCGTCCCACGTACACGCCCGGATTTTTCATTTTTAGTCTAGGCGACCTCCTCGACCGCCTTATGTCTTTTGCTATAGCCGACTTTGCTTTACACAAACATGCTCAAGCAATTGTTCAACGACAAAGGTTAAGTCGACAACCCATTCGTCCTTATCCCCACTTTCTCTTTGCCGTCCGGCATCCCCGGGGCCCAGTCCCGCTCAGTGTCTCTTTAATCTACTTACCTACACGTTCAACACAATTTATGCAAGGCATCCCCGACATGGGGTCAACACATAATCCCTCCCACAAGCCTAAGTTCGTTTTCTTTGGCCATTTGTACTTTCCTTTTTCTTTTCTCAATCCAAGCCAATCTCTTCCCTTAGTCATGCAGCCCGAGTGATGCTTGAGTCAATCTGACGTTGCTTTAAGTACCAAATTTATCTAGTCCCTTTTTCGGACTTGACTTCTCTCAATCGCTCACGTGTCTTTTCCTTTCCTTCTCGACGGCACAAGAGACCGGCAGCCCTCCCCTTGCCCACTTTCTTCGCCAAGTGCAGACGAGTTCTTTTCACCGTTCGTTCCCTGTTAATGTAACAAGTGAGTGGTGAAGGGTTAGTTATATGCCAAGTGGTGGAAGGGGGAGAGGG